GCGCGCTGAACACTCCGGTTACAAGAGTACGATTTCACAGTACAGCACGTGCCAGGGGAGGAGAACCACTTGGCTGGTTGGCAATCAAGACCAGAGGCTGAAGATGGGACCCCCAGGATCATGATTGGGGTCAATGGCCTGGTCTTCGAGCTGGATCCCGGAAGGTTGATGTAACTCCAATGACAGGATCCTGCGTTACGGAGGGCTGTAGCCATCTTGTTGGTTGGAAGGAGCATTGAGAACAGAACGAAACACAAGGAATTGGAAACGTTCCAGAGTCACTTTGATCAGCTGAGTCTGAATAAAGCTAGCGTAATTTCCTGGAACGCCACCGATTCGGATGTTGTGTTGCCCGTAATACCTCGCGTCTTGAGGCGGAAGCTTATCGTCGAATGCCATGAGATGGCACATACAGAGTGCACCATGATGGACGACTTACTTCGGCAGAGGGCCCGATGGGCCAGGGTGAGGAAGAGGTGGTGAATTGCGTGGTATCCTGTAGGCGGTGCCAACTGATGAAAGGGAACACGACAGGGGAAACCCATCCAATGGAACCCATTCTCATCTCAGAACTCGGCAAGTTGTGTTCCGTTGACGTCATGGGTCCCTTTCCGGTGACGACCAGTGGAAATCAAAACATCGTGATAATGACAGAACACCGGTTGCGGTGGATCGGGGCAGCAGTCGTGCCGAATCAACGGGCGACGACAATCAGCACAGTGGAAGTGCATCACATCGTGGCCAACCATTGGGTGCCAAAAACGATCCTAATCGATCGGAGGCCTAGCTTTGAGAGTGAAGATTTTAGGAATTGCTTGCAGAAGCTGGGTATCAGATGGCTAAGGGTGGTACCATACCACCCGCATACCGATGGCCAGATAGAACGTAATAGCCGAAAGATCAGGGAGCGCTGGAGGCCAAATGGCTGAGAAGTGAATTTGCCAATGGTGCCCCCAGCTCATCGTGCTTCCATAGAGTCACCCACAGGCACGGCTCCGCTTATGTTGATGTACGGTCGACATCCGCGCTTTCCGGTTGATCAGAAAATTGGCTTGTGGCCGGCAAAACGCTTGTCTTCAGAGGAGATAAAGGAAGAAAGGAGAGCTCGAGAAAACTTGACCGTCGTTCAGGAAAGAACTAGGCAGAAAACGGCAAGTAGAAAGGCACGATCATTCCCCACGGGCGCGAAGATCAGGTAGAAGGATCAACAGAATCCTAAAAGAAGTAGACTACAGTTGTGGGGGCTGGGAAGATCAGGTAGAAGGATCAACAGAATCCACAGTTGTGGGGGCTGGGAAGTCGATGGCCAGGTCCGTTTGTCGTTACCGACCGCGGGGGAAAGTCTATGCAATTCAAGACAGTCGGGCATCGAGAAGGGTAAACGTGACTCAGCTTCGTAAGTGGCACGGTACACCCAAATAGCTCCCTGATAGACCAGTGCTGGAGCTTGACCCAACGGAGGTAAATGGAAATCGGTGACATGCGGATGACCTTTAAATGGGGAAGGTGTGTAACGTGGCATACCACTGCTGAAACTTACGAGTGGTATGTAGTCTTCTCAATGATCCGCTTCACGTCTATTGAAAAGTGAGATTTATTACGAGATTTGCGGAATCGTGTGGTAGCATTCATTTGCGTTTGAGTGATAGTCAATGAGTATGGCGCGAAGATCAGGTAGAAGGATCAACAGAATCCACAGTTGTGGGGGCTGGGAAGTCGATGGCCAGGTCCGTTTGTCGTTACCGACCGCGGGGGAAAGTCTATGCAATTCAAGACAGTCGGGCATCGAGAAGGGTAAACGTGACTCAGCTTCGTAAGTGGCACGGTACACCCAAATAGCTCCCTGATAGACCAGCTGCTGGAGCTGACCCAACGGAGGTAAATGGAAATCGGTGACATGCGGATGACCTTTAAATGGGGAAGGTGTGTAACGTGGCATACCACTGCTGAAACTTACGAGTGGTATGTAGTCTTCTCAATGATCCGCTTCACGTCTATTGAAAAGTGAGATTTATTACGAGATTTGCGGAATCGTGTGGTAGCATTCATTTGCGTTTGAGTGATAGTCAATGAGTATCCAGGATAGTTCAGCAAGACGCATTCGAGAAGAAGACGGATACACAGTATTATAGACAAGATCTATATGAGAGTTTTGCTTCCCTGTCCAATAATCCGCAACTGTTTAGCTGGGGTTTTCCAATAAATAACTCCGCAGCGAAGGCCTTATTCGTTTCAGCTGTAGCTGTCCAGATGATACCACCTAACAACTTACTACGGAATTGGCCTAAGGAATTCAATTTTATACTATACCTGACAAAGCATGTAATAGTGAGTGGTATGGGGACATCGGGTTAAGAACCCTAAGTACCACTCAAGTAGACAGCATTGGTCTTGCCCTCCAATTTTGGAAAACGCGCTGGTTGATCGGTGGGCAATTTTCAGCGGCTATTCAAGTGACCGACGAGTACCTCGCAGCAGCTGGGCTACGGACGTAACTTTTATCACCTGCAATCGGTCAAATCATACCCTAACAAGTGAACGCATGCCCCTGACATGAGTTGAATGTTTGAATAACACCCAGTTTTGAAGACGGTCATGGTTAGCGAAGCGGGAACCGAAGTGTAAACCAGACGAACCCTTAGATTTGCATTGACCAGACTAAACGCGTCCCTGCCTTTCATGCAAGACTATCTCAATTTTGGCCGAATAGATGACCTGTTACGAGTTGGGCGCACCAGGTAGGCGAGGTCCTTGAAATTCCAGAAAACGTATTTTGGGCTTGAACACCAAATCCAACGTACATTCCTTAGCCGAATATAGTATATAAAAAACGATATATCACTCAAATTATGCATTCAGTACTGGAGCATAAGTTGGACGAACAGTGTGTTATGGATGCCAAGTTACCACCTGTCGATTATAGTGTTCATTTTCGTACCTACTTCAGACGGGTGGAAACTAAAATTTTGACAGATTTTGGTAGAGCAGGATGGAATGAAGGGTGTTACAAAAAATTCGTGCTGCTCCCTTCTACAGGTGGTGACCTTTCCTGTGTTTGGATAGGCGCACCAAACGATACAGTTGCTAACCCATATCAGTGGCGCTCAAGCTGTCAGTTCCTCTGCAGGTTGTCTGACTGAGCGTGGATGTTGGCAACTCGAACGTTTGTGGTAGGTTAGCCCCCTTATCCAAACAAATCGATATATCTGTACGGCAGCGAAGCACGAATGTTTGCATCTTATGTTTCTGTCAACGAAGACGATTATCACCATCATCATCGTCATCAAAGAGAGCAACATCAATGTTGACCCTGATGCTTCACTGTTGTACAACCGTAAGGTTCAGTCGAGCATTCTGAGCTGCCTACACCCCAAACCTCTCAATCAGACAATCTGGAAAGAAACTGACAGCACGAATGCCACTGACATCGTTTAACCACCGTTTCTTACAACTTTTCAAGCAAAGCACAGGCGGGTTAACGGGGACCCCATCCTGGAGGGCATACAACACCAACAACACTCAAATTCTTCGTGATCTCTTTCATGCCTTTCTGCCAAGTCATGCGCCATCCACCTCGTGATCGGTGCCATTTTGTAAAAGGCACGGAGAACAACACACGTCTCGGTAGACGGTGTTTCGGCGTGTGAAGCACATGACCGGGTCATCGTGGTCGATGATGCTGGATGTTTTCTCGGATTGAGGTGCCTGCAGCACCACCAAATACCCGTTTTCTAATTACCTCGTTACTAGCATGCTAAAGACATCCAAAACCAGTCACGCCACTGAGGCATCGGTGGTTGAAAACCTGAAATCGCCTTACATCATCTGCCCACACAGGCCATGCCTAACCCGCATACAGCAACACAGCCCTTACCGTAACCTGGTACACAAGACTCTTAAGAAGGGTGGAGGTCGAAATGGACTTTCAGAGGTTTTCATTGACATCATGAAGGTACTCACGAAACTGTTTGTTATCACAACAGCTAGCATCATCGACCGGCCAACTTTTCACGCAGTCAAGGTTTTTTTGTAACCACATCCTGGGTCAGATGACACGTACCTCTCAGTGGATTGCAATACTCCAGCAAGTGGGGATACAGCGGTCAACTGCATGCATTACGTTTGCCGCAAATACGCTCATGAAATTAATGGATAAAGTGAACACAGATTACATGCATCAAACTTTTAATCACTTGTACCTCCGCTGATACCTTGATGGATGGGGCCTTACCGTTGGACCTGTAGTTTTGCGCGTATCGCGCTGCGAAAATACGCCAAAGTGGGTCACAGTAGAAAGGGTAGATTTGACCAGTATGACGGATACTCTGTGCCTGATGTGCGAGCCTTGATTGTGCTAACTCTTACCGCGTCTTGAAGAGCATTCACCATTGTCTGTTCTTTTCTCAGTTGTTGGTCTTTGCATTTGTGTTTCCAAACCAAAAATTCCTACATCTTGTTTAACTGGAACTGTTAGTGACATGTCTTCGAATAGGACACTTCCTCGTTCTATCTGATATCCTCCTGTACATTTCCCACATCTATCGCCCATACTTACTCTTTTGTCGTTTAGAAATAAATAATAGCTAGAAGAGCAAACAAAACAAATAAATAATTCGAAAAATGAATAGCTCATTTGTGTAGGGCAGCGTGAGTGTCAGTGACTCATGTACGTGAGTTTGTCCAACAGATTCCACCTCGTTATCTCTAAGTAGCGAAAGTACAGTTGTAGAAAAAGCGAAGAAGCTCCAAAAATGGAGAGAAATCTCTCCACCGTCATCTACTTCGTTGAGTTACTTCGCATTTACGCCTAGAACGGAACGGTTGAGACTGGATTGATTTTTGGTCGTTTCAATGAAGAATGATCGATTAACTTGTCACACGTGATATCAGCCGACACACGGTAGTCGTGGTAAAATAGCAGCCATCTGAAGATTGGTTAAAATCATCAAACCCTCGAAAGTCGGCCAAAGCAGACCATTGGATATTACGGTTTAGTCAGTATGCCACTCGGAGTGTTTCGGCAGTTAGGCCGCCTGGAATCTGCAGTACGTTGCTCTATGCCAAAGGAAGAGCATGGCGATGAGCTTCAGGATCTGAAGCTTGCACCAGTGAAGAATCTCAGCTGCCCGAACTATCGTATCCTACAGTGGGAAATGCCGGTGTCATTTGGAGATAAAATCAGCCGCCTAATAGAACAAAATGACTTACGCCTAATTGCCTTGAGATCACGCCAGTGTATTCCACCCACTCGGGAAGAGGAATATTTCCGTTCGTTACATGCCATACACTTTTACCATCGACCCGAAATACTCTGGGATTACGACGTCTATGGTTCAAGACAACGTGATCGAAAAAGGTGTCGGTTGTTTGGAGGCACATACTACTGTGTAAATCATCCACCTCACTACAAAGAGGTAGCGAAAAAGCTGAAACTGGAAATGGAGCTTGAAGCCAAGCTTAAAGAACAAATGAGAGAGTTGCCTGGTTCCCGTTATACTCGACCCTCGAAACGGCGTAGTTTAGATCCCGTGTTAGAACTGCCCCCAGCCTCGGTCATTTTACGGTCCAAACCACCAAAAACCAATGCAAAACGATCTAGTCGCTATGTAAATTTGAAGAGCACAGATATCGATGTCCTAGATCTGGTAGAGCAACAATGGATGTCCATCAAGGATTTGTACATAGAAGCACGAAATGTTCTGGAAAATCTTTTGCCAAAGTACGAATCGGAAGGGCCGGGAAGTAAAACTTTAAGGAGAGGCTACCAGTCAAATGGACTTGGTATCCTGAAATGAATTTTTCCAATCCTGAATGTGTCTTGAAACCGTATATCGGGTTGTATAGTGGGTTCGGCTGTGAAATGTTCCCAAAGCATTTACTATCCTCCGGGTGTACCGGTTGCATTGAGTTGGAGACCTCAAAAGGTGTCCAATCTTATTCTTTTTTGTTTATATCAATATACACTAACCTAATGGGCAAATACATAAAGTTGTTGCCCACAGATGCGACCTAATTCATCACTGATGCAATGGTTATACTGGGTTGGGGAAGAAGAACACCAATTGTTTCAAAAATGTATCAACTAGAGGTTGCCCCAATTGAGGGGAGGGAGATACATCATCATCCGCTGTAAAAACCGCGTAATTGTCGTACAGTAATGCTAGATGCCACAGTTTCGTTCGCTGATGAGTTGTGGATGTGTGGTAGACAGCTACGTACTGGAAGAGCTGTGCACTGAAGACGACAGCTCAGATATATGAGCATCATCAACATGATCACCGACAGCATGACATCAGTGTTCAACACCGATGCTTCACTGCCGTACAACCATGATTTATTTGAAAGCCTTATTGTGAAGAAAAGAGTAAAGGTGGACGGGGAAGGGACTTGGTGCTAGCTTACCACAATCATTCCGAAATGCCTATATCTCCAGACACTCACTCAGACAATCTGGATAGAAACTGACAACAAGAACGCCACTGACATCGGTTGGCAGCCATATCTTGTAGTGTCTCCAACGAGGTACAGTGAGGATCACGCGGTCCCCATCCTGGAAGACGAGTAGCACCGACAGCACCCAAGCGTTTCGTGAACTTCATACTTCTCTGTATCATTGAGGGCGAGTCTAGAAATGTCTTTAACCAGCTTCCTGAATTCGGCCTATTACGCTTGGATTGACAAGCAACACGCCGAGGACGTCAAAAACTTTCAGTGTCTGACCATTGGTGTCCTCGGGGCATTGCCCGAATCTGGTGGGGACACCGGATCAGCAATGCTGAAGTTCATCGAGTGGTATTCGGGAAAAATAACTCACCCTCGATAGATGCACTGATCACACTGCATAAAAGCAATTACCAGCAAACTCAGCTGCGCTAGTCACTACCGTCTTCCTGGATGGGGACCCCGAGACGGGCCACATCAGTGGCTAGAGACATTGTCAGATATGGCCCAGTTGTGCCCTCAATGGCGCTCATGCATCCAAGCTATTGCCTTCAATGTAGCTCCTTTTCAACCCCTCCCCCCCCACCTTGACAGCCCAGTGACAGTGCTCGATTTATGCACCAATTTATCATCTCTCGCCTGCAATGCGCGGATACCTGCCCCAGCTTCCCGAATCATCGGTGAACGAAAGCGTGGTAGCTACAACCACTGTCTTACAAGTACGCGGTTATTACAGCTGACAATGAATGAATGAATAAATGAGTGAGTGACTGTTTGAACGAGTGCATAGATGCTCGTTGGCACATAGCCACCCCAAGGTGCATTCCTTCATTTCTTTCACAGTTAGGACATTTCAAACCAAACTCACAAATTTATGTGGCTGTCAGACAAAAGCAATAAAATGATTGTTGTTTTCCGCGATCACGATGATTATGATGGTGCTGGTCATGGTGGATTAGCACAGCGATTCTGAATGGGGAATTAATTTCCCTCTGAACTGTTATTACGACTGAAGGAAGTGGAAGTTCTTGTTTTCGTGTGAGGTTATTGAACCAAACTGTCAGGACACGCTGTACTCGGGTTTCCCGTGCTTGACTCAGGGAGATTAGTGATCAGAGGAAACGCGGTGTATCGAGCCGGAACCTGAAATCATTCGCATGTATTCTCATTGGCTCCGGTAAGAGGTGAATGAGGGAACAATCGTCTGGTCAAATAGTGGAACACCTTTGGATTTACACTGACCTGAGATTCACATGAGGTCAAGTTGAACTTCCATCAGCCGTTTTGTGAGACGACCTCACTAGAGAGTTTCTGTCATTTCATGAAGCCAGGCAAAAGTTGCGTGCAAATTGTCTTGGGGGTAAATCAAGTCAGGGCCAACTTATTGACGGTCGCAATCCAGGACCTATTACTGAACTCGCCGGGCTGCAGAGAACCAGACCGGTAGTTGAACATTATCTGGGGTTGGGTAAGGGATTGCAGAACGTGCCTCATTCCAGCGAACTACACTCAGTTGCAAGCAAATTTGGTTTTGCGAGAGACTCCTATGGAATCCAGCTGAATCTCTCGTTCATGATGTTTCTAAGTATTGACCACTGAGTAGTGTATTAGTTCCATTCATGTCTCATTCCCCTCCAGTCAGGTCGGTAAATGAGTAGTGCATGAGATTGTGTGTACAACTTACGGAACTGGCCAAAACTGTCCACAAGTTACTTTTAAAATGTCAAAATGAGAAGTACACTCACTTGCAAATCAAACTGGTTTTCACGAGAGACTCAACTGAATCTCTCGTTTATGATATTCTACAACTGAATGTGCTGCACACAGGCCGCCTCATGAAATCCCTCGTTTGTGATGTTTCTAATTAGTCAGTATTGAGTGGCGTATTACTTCTATTCATTTCTGATTCTCCCCCAGTCAGGTCGGTAAATGACTAGTGCGTGGGGTTCCGTGTTCAAATTGCGAAACTGGCCAAAACTGTCCATAAGTTGCCCTTAAAATATGTTAAAATGAGCTTCTATTGTACTTCCAGATGCAGATTTCCGTAACTTTTAGATGCCCCTCATACTGTAGATCAGCTTGTCGTTCATTCAAAAATTACAAGTGCATCCTCCGAATTTTCATCTACTTCTAGTGAGTAGTTGCGGCTTTTTATTCACGTCGAAGTTTCTATCGAACAGTTCTGCTCCTTTCTCACCATGATGATCCGCATTGGTCCACAACAGAGCGAAAAGCACCTGTCTGTTATGCGTCCGACTCCCCATGAGTAATTCGAATAAACCGTCCAAGATGTTTTTGCCCCCTGTAGTAGGTGTTTTCCGGCAAATCCGGACGGGTGCGGCAGTAGATTGGCGGTGGCGAATCAGTGGTGACAAATCCACCTTGATTGGTTAAGGTCAAGAGTTTGCATCTTCGCATGGGCTTCTATTTAACTACAAAGGCGTTCAGACATAAGTTCTGTCGAGGATAAACTCTAACTTTCGTACGAATGAGCCGTGCTACTCTCGCTGTCTGTGAAAATATAAATTTCAACCGAGCTTGTCAAGTGCTCGAAACGAAACAAGGGATTTTTTTTGACAAATTCACTCACATCATTTTGGTTTTCACGGGTGGCTCACCGGAATCCCAGCTGAATGTTTTTGTTTTGGGGTATTTTTCAAACGCCACTTCACGTTTCAGTTGGTACGATATTCTTTAACGAAACTACGACAGCCCACGATCAGTTCTTGTGGTTCATCAGGTAGGCGCCGTCTCCGATCCATGAAGTCTTGTGTCCTTCATTGCACGACTTGTGATATTTTTGCGAATTTGTCTTGATGGTTCATGCGTCTCCATTTATCTGCACTTTGTCTGACTCAGTTCAGGCTTGACTACCCCAATTTTAAGCCCTTTTGTGTGACTAAAACGGCACTTGCACAATCTAAAAATGTTTTTATATTATTTGAAAACGGTTCATATTTCGAACTACTTATGGATTCTGCATAGGAGATTGAGAAGGATCGTAAACAAACTTTGGCAGACAGAAGTTTTTTCTACTTCATGCTAAATAAACTACTCACTTGTCGGAATATTGGTAGCCGGAGTGACTTCATTGGTTGTTGATCAGTAGGCTGTTGATCTGTTCGCCGAGCTAGGCTGCAAACGGCAGGTGGGTGCGCGCACTGCGCACTGATGATATCTCCTCGTGTGGTGACGAAACGTTTGCCCAAGATCATTGAACAGATCAGTAGCCACGTGATTAACAACCAGTAAACTATTTCCTTTCTAAACAGCTGGGAAAATTATGGAGAAAGGGGCAAATCAGTTAGGGTATTTAGAACATGTAGAAGGTGAACCTGTATGTGTGATCTGTTCTTCGCCACAGTAAATTTGTTTTTGGACTGAATCAGAAATAGAAAAACGCACGTAATTTCAAAATAATTACATGCTTAAATTTGACCCTGTTTATCGTGCTCACATCAGTCAGCTGAGAAGGGGTTAAAATGCCTGATACAACACATAGGTCGATAAACTTTGATAAATATTATCAAGCAATCTGACGGTCTGAAAGTAGCAGGGAAGTGTGATCATCTACAGTACGCGAAGACTGCTCACATGTGTGCTGAAAGTTCCAAATCTAACCTTATTTGGCTTTGTTGAATCATTGCTTCATGAAGAAAACGCTGAACAGTCTGAGTTAGTTACATTAAATTCGATATCGTGGACATTACGGATGCACGTGTCAGCGTCTTGAACAATAGTTTTTCGCTGGATTCGCACAAAATTAACAAGAAGAGATGAAACGAGAAGTGATTTTCCGTTTCTTGGTTTTCATTTTGAGTGAAAAAAACTGTTGATAAGTACAGATCGTATTTTTCACCGTCACCACTATTTTCCGCCATTATTGTGCCGTTGGAATAAAATGTCTTTCTGGCACCACTCTACTTCAAATGCAATCTTGTAAAAAGGCGACCATTCTCAGGAGGCTGGTAGATTTTGTGCGCACTAACTGCTAAACGTTTATTGTGCCAAAAACGAGCGGGAAATCGGTGGTGCCGAAATTTTAGCTCACTTCTATTGGTTATCCACTCGAGTGCTTTTTGTGTGAGACCACTGTTCCGCATTCTCGTTTGTTGTACGACAACTGCTCAGGAACTGTGGGCTATCGCTCTTTGGATTGTGTAGAATCCCTCCTAGGCCCGGTTTATTAGTCGAACTTACGTGACCTCTAGAATCCAGTTGAGAAGGGCATTTTACACTTGTTTTTTTATCGTGTTGTTCACCAACGCCATTCGACTTCCACCTCAAACCACAGTAGATATTTTGTGTAGCGCCCCGATTACCTTCTTATGGACTACAAACCTCTGTAGGCACA